GGTCTAGCCTAAATTCAAACTCACGTCAATCTATAACCAAACTCCTAACTCTAATGTTAAGCGAAAATTATAAAATTTCAAACTTAAATTTAAGCCTTAATTCCCCTCATATCATGAATCCAATAACATTCGTGTTCTATAATACGATACCCATAAAACACTTTGCTAACTATACCCATATCTTAACCTTATGAGTAATACTATAAGAAAACTCTCAAGTTTTAAGCTAATACTTAATTATTATAAGCAACTTTACCCACAAAAATAACAAAATAATACTTAAATGGAACTATGCAGATTCCACTCATGCAGACAATTGGTGCCAATGATCACTCAATTCCCTATACTACACTTTATCATTATTTAATGATTTTCCTTAGTTAACATAAACGTTTTTTTTTCTACTTTAACCCAACAATATTATAACTTGTTGTATTTCATCCTCTTTTTCTTTTTCAATCCCAAGAATCACCACGTTTTACTGTGACTCACCAAAAATTTGTCACATTAAATAAACCTCAAAAGAAATCAGTCACTCATCTAGTATCACTATTTAATTCAACAAATTTCTTCAAACCTATCATAACCGACCCTTCGTGATAACAGTTTCATAATAAAACAAAAACTTGAATCACCTTCTAATAAACTAAAATAAAATATTACTATACCCCCTTCAGATGCATTGCACAAATTACATATACAAGTGATGAAATTGGAGTGCTTACCAGGAAATCACCGTAACCCAGCAGCAGTTTGTACTCCTCGACCTAATATCACGTCTTGGTTTTATTTTATATTATCATTATTATTATTCTTTTACTTATTTACTTTCATACATGGGTTAAGTGGTAACTATTAATTAGGAATGTGACTCATTAACTATTCAATTCTAATACTCATAGTTATTAAATAGTTTAAAATACCCCTTTAAATTTTCAAAAGGAGTCAAACTAGTCCTAGTTTTCAAAACGACCTAGCGGGTCGTTACAATAAATTCATAGAATAATCTCAAAGAAATCAAAATATATCAAAATATTTCATGTTCTTCTTGAGAATCAAATACTTCAAGAAGAGATTCACAATTTTTTTCATGAGATCAAGTCCAAATGTTCCTAGTTCTAGAAATATGTCACTAGAGGTCCTCGAATCACTGAAAATTTAAATCATCTTAGAAATACGACACTAATAACTCTCGAATCATGAAAAACTCTTAAGAGAAAAGCAAAATCAAGGAATAAACAAATTTATCCCCACAATATTTGTTATTAATAAAATCATATTTTATGTAATTACAATTTATTTTTTCTATCACTTAAAAATTTATCAATACTCTCTTTCACAAATCACAATCTCTACAGCCTACACAATGTACTTTTGTTTGATATATATTAGATTATGAATCACAATAATTGAGAAAATAAAAAAATAAAAGAATTTCAGTCGTGAATAATATTGCACAATGGTGAATGTGACCTCATATGGTGATGTGTGGTCACATTTTTAGATTACACAGATGGTTTCGGATCAATCTCCTCTCAACGTCTTCTGAGTCAAATATGATGTATATAGTTATCCTAATCATTATTGCATTTAAAGTGCTCATCACCGAATTTTCACTCGACCAAGGTTATTGCCGTTGTTGATAATCCCAGGATTTCTAAAAAGAATTACCATAATAATAATAATAACAATGTCTGTAATATTGACTTTATATATATATATATATATATATTAATGCTGACATGTAAAAATAATTGCAACTATATTGACATCACTCTTTAACGTATGATAAATTATGTAAAGATGATGCAAATTGAATGATTCAAACAATCTAATTAATTAAGGTACTACTTTTATTTATATATAATATAAAAAGTTTAAAAAAAGACCAAGGAAAATAATGCATAAATCAAAGGACATGGGTGTTATCATGACTCGTGATTTTTGGATTGTAATAAATGATTGTTATACCTTTTATCTTTTATATGCAGGGTAGGTCATAATAATTAATCATAAAATCCATATTATTATTATATCTGATCAATTTTTTATAGCCATATAAATATAATATTATATATAAATTATATCCATATCAATATTGTGATGCATTGAAAATCACATTATTCATCCATATATTTTCAACAATTTAATGGAGTATTTTACCTCCACAAAAAACACATATTTGATGATACAAAATATGATATTATTTGATATCAATATCGAGCTTTTAATGAAGACTTCGTAATAAAAATCTTATTTTAGATGATCATTTACGAATTTTTCATACTGAAAGATTGATTTTCCAATGAAATAACATATCTTTGATTTTTGACAATTTCATTTTTTGATGACATAATTAATTATATTGTACACTATATATATATATATATATATATATATATATATATATATATATTAGTTA